TTGGTATCATTAATCTACAATTACATGAGCAACATTATGGTTACTAGACTCCCCCCCATCATCCAGTCCCCACCACATACCCCATTACAGTCACTGTCCATCAGTGTAGTAAGATGCTGTATAATCACTAATTGTCTTCTCTGTGTTGTGCAGCCCTCCCCATGCTCCCCCCCCACACATTATGTCTGCTAATCATAATGCCCCCAAAATATGGAACTCTTTATGAATTTGCATGTCATCCTTGCACAGGGGCCATGCTAATCTTCTCTGTATCATTCTAGTTTTAGTATATGTGCTGCTGAAGCGAGCACTGTAGTGAGCATTTTTAATTAAAAGTAATAATCTAGATTCTTTGGTCTCCAGATTTGAAAAAATGTTTTAACCATTCAGCAGACCAACACATAGTACTCTAAGTCAGAGTAATTCAGTTGTTAAGAGCTTGTCATAAACACCTCTGGTAATGGACTCCTTGTGTCCTTTTGAGAAGTTTATGAGTATTTGTTATTTTGTACGTAGATTCTTAAAAACTACTCTCTGTGTAAAGCCAAGATTATCACATATTATTCTTTACTGGCTGTGTAAGTTTACATATCTTCCTTAATAGCCAAATGATGTATTTATAGAAATGTCCTACCCACTTAAATAATGCACAAAAATATTTTTAAGATTATTAAAAATAAAAGAATAGTTCAGAGAAGCTTTTTAAACAAATAGGAAAATTTTTTTTTGGAAAGATAGTAATGGGGATTCCACTCCGTCCTCACCATCCATCCAACACACCTCCCGTATTTCCTCTTGTCTAAAATTTTAACATTGCAATTTGTTGAATTGGCAAAAACACCCCTTAACCACTAGGTGGCGCTGTACAACATGCTTTTTATAACTCATTCTCAAGATGAACTAAAGCAGTGTGACCGTAAAATTCTCCTCTGTGTTTCATTTTCCATTGATTTATTTTTAGAGTAATTTCATCCCTTAGTTTTTTTCTTAGTCATAATTACTGCTTATTTTGACTTATTTTAAATAGAGTACTTTATTCCCTAGATACTAGTGTTTTTATATTTAAAATCAGAAATACTAAGTTTAATAAATATTTATTGAATACATACTTTTGTACTAGACACTACCTACTTTTTTAAACCAAAATTGAATTCTGGGTGTTCATCTACTTATTTTTCCATACACATTTACTGTATTTTTTTTTTATTTGAGTGGGCATCTCTCATGTTTATTGATCAAATGGTTAACAACAATAAAATTCTGTATAGGGGACTCAATGCTCAATATGCAATCAATAATCCACCCCAAGCCTAATTCTCGTCAGTCTCCAATCTTCTGAGGCATAGCTAACAAGTTCTTACATGGTGAACAGTACAAGGGCAGTCATCACAGAAACTTTCAGTTTTGATCACACATTATGAACTATAAACAATCAGGTCAAATATGAATATTCGTTTGATTTTTTTT